CTGGCCACGGGCCAAAGCCTGTTCTGGCTGAGGCTGCAAGGCTGGTGGGCAGCCTTAAGGGGGGGAAGGGGGTTCCCCCTGGGACACTGGCAATAGCTAGAAGCATTTGTGGATGTCACAACTGAGGTGGGTGCTCCTGGCATCTAGCAGGTGGAGGCCCAGGGACTTGCTGAATGTCCTGCCATGTCCAGGACTGCCCATCACAATGACTGGGCTGTGGTGGAAAACCCTAGTGCAGGTCGTCTGTTGCCCTTTAGACGTGGATGGTGCAGACGGGGGCCCTGCTCCCACTTCACACTGTACCGATCTGGAGCAGCAGCCCAGGGCTGTGTGAACAGGCACGGCCAGGCGCTGGCATGCAGCTGGGCCCCTTGAGTTCTGGAACCGTGAGCCGAATGGGAGATTGGCCCTCTTTACTGGCCCATCCCCCCCGGAGCCCCACAGGCAGGCTTCCTTGCCCAGGACCTCCGTGGTCAGTGCTGAGTGCCCACTGGATGCTCAGGTGCTGCAAGAACTTCCTGTCCCGCTGCCTAGAATGCCCGTCTCTGATTAAAACACGAATCGTGCTTATTGTAAACACTTCAGTTGTATAGAGGTGGGCAGAACCCAACACCCAGAGGTCCTGGAACAATCTACTGGCTTCGGGCACAGCTGTACCAGGGGCAACAGGTGTCCACGACTCTACTTCTCTCCCCTCAGGCAGGCAGGCCGCGAGCTTCCCACCGAGTAGTGCCAGATCACTGAAAATGAGCTTTAGATGATCACCGATTGGCCGGCCCTGGTATGGTTCCATGCCTCATCAGTTAGGGTTTATTTTGACTGGGATAGGAACACAGAAGTAACCATGGCACACGGGCTAGTTTAGGTCAACCTCTTCTCCCCTTTAAAGTCCACGCTGACACCAGCTCTCCCATCATTAGACCCCAGTTCTGTGTCGCCCCCAGAGCGCGGCGCCCCTCCTTTCTTGTGGAATGTGGCTGCCAGGTCTCCAGCCATCACACCCAAATTCCAGGGAATAAAGGGCAGGGAAGGAAGCGTGTACTCCCTTGCCTTTTAAGGATCCCTCTCGAAGTCTCATACAACACTTCCACTTACATGGCTCAATATAGCTGCAAAAGAGGCTGGGAAATGAGTTTGGACCAGGCGCAGCTCCAGGGTGGCATCTGCTCACCTGTGACTCCTCCATGGGGCAGAGGGATCCTTCCCACCTTCATCCGTGTCCTGGGTGCCTAGCACAGTGGCACTCACAGACACGCTCTGAATGAATAAAACAGGGCCAAACTTGAATAATAAATGATAAAGACCCGGAATTTGTCATCATACACTATGGTGTCATTTGTACAGTGTTGTCACAGATGTGAAGTGCCGGGAGCCAGTCCATCCTTGCTGTTTCAAGGGACCTGGCATATATGGCATACTGTTTTTAATATGTTTGCTCACCTTCTTGGCACTATGTGTTTTAACCAAGGTCACCTCTCCGAGAAAGGTTGTTTCCCCAGGTAGGGATTTTCCCCTGAAGTTAGGGAGGGAATAAAACCTCTTAACTAAGTG